TCGTGAAACATTTGTTTTGTTTTTTCTTTTAAAAATAAAGGACTTGCCTGCAGACCCCCACAACCCCCAGGCCAGGGTTGTGGGGAAGAGGCCTTATTCTCATCAACATGGGGACAAGGGCCTCATGACTCATTCATCTTACCAACCAATCAGCGTCTGCCACCCCCCTCTGCCAATCCCTCCACTGGCTCCCAGTTGCCCAACGAATAAAATTCAAAATACTAACAATAACATACAAAGCCATCTAGAACTCTGCCCCAACCTGCATCACCCGCCTCTTCTCACAAAATCACCCAAACCGCCCTTTTCACTCTTCCCAAGACCTCCTGCTCTCCAGCTCTCATCACCTCCTTGCATACTCACCTCCAGAATTTCTCCAGATTGCCTCCCATCCTTTGGAACTCCCTACCCCAATCTGTCCGGTTATCTCCTACTCTGTACACCTTTAGGTAATCCTTAAAAACTCATCTGTTCAGTGAACCCTATTCCACCTCAAAATGACTGTCTTTTCACTTCTTCCATTAAATCATTCCACACAGTTATTACCTTTTGTATCACTTGCCCCTTCCACTAGATTGTAGGTTCTCATGAGCAGGGCCCTCCTAACCCTCCTGTACTGAAATTGCATTGTGCCTGTACTGTCTCCCTCCATTTTGTAAAGCGCTGCACAAATTGTTGGTACTATATAAACCTGTCTAAGAATAATATTAAAAATGTGCATTGCCAGGAGGTCCCCCCTGGTGAAGCATCCTCCCCATTTGAGGTCTGTCTCGATTAAGTTGTTGTTGTTATACTGCAATACCACCTTTGGGGACAGAGTGTACAGTATATGGGGAAAAAGTCCTCCCCACAGATTTGTGATATAGACAGGCCTGGAGCACAGGGGAGGGTTTTTTATGGTTAAAGTGTGGTTGGAGAAAGAAGTTGGCTTAGATGAAGAGGTGTGGATGTTGAGAGAGTTTCCCTCCACCCTGCCCTACATTATTTATAGATTGTCTGTCTGTGTAATGGTTTGGGATCTTTGAAGGTGGTCTTGATAGCTGGCTTCATCATTAATGGTGTTAGGACCCATCCTAGGTGAGGTGTCCTCTCTGTGGACATGGTCAAATGGTTGACAACATAGTATGGGCAGGTATGTGTCTGTGATCAACAGTTAATAGTTATTCTCCCTGAGTTGGTGCATTGGGGCTGGGGGCCTAAGTTAGTTGGCTGATGCTGCAGACATATCGTTCTGGGGCTTTGTTATTTCTGGTGCCTTCATAGGGCCTGGAAACCAGTCGTACCTTTCCTGTAACATTGTTATTATGTTAATTATTTTGATATATGTTAATATTTAATTAAATTACAGCTACTGTGGCCTTTTGTACTCTACAAAGGTTTGTGAATGTTTTATTGATGGGAAGTAGCTGGTTGGATGGTGGCTGCTAGCTGGTATCCGTATGGGCTACCCTGGTCAAGTTGCATTGTATTTATGGCTGGACTGCGACTTTTCTTAGATCAGATGCAGATTCAAATTGTGTTTTTTCAGTGACACAAAGGTAATGGCATGCGGAGAGCGACTGTTTCCCCTTTTAAAAAAAATGCTTTGCTTCTAAAATAAAATCAGTTCAGTTAGTTGATGAACGATTAAAAAAAAAAAAAAAAAACATTCATAAGG